GTCTGTGAGACTCTTATCTCCAATTAACCACCAGAAAACTAGAAGTGCAGCTATGGCTCAAAGTGGTAGAGTACTAACCTTGAGCAGAAAAACTCAGTGACAGCATCCAGGCCTTGAGTACAAGCCCCCAAAACAACAAAATATAAAGTAACAAATTAAATTAACATATATATAATTCAAATATACATTAAAATATATAATATATAATTAAAATATATAATTAAAAAAAACAAACAGAGCCAGCATGATGCCTTGACCAACACAATCTTTCTCTAGAAGGAATGATGAAAGGAAACAAATCTTTGTGAATTTAATTCTATATAAGATAAGGACTTCAAACATGCCAAGACTGGCATATGAAAAGCTGCACTGCACACGTTCCAGAATTTAGTGTTCGCCAGAAGAATGTTCTAATGGTATCTGTTCTCTCATTGAATCATATGCTCATTGAAGGCATTGTGTATTTTTTTTTTTGTTTTTGGTATGAGACTGGAACTCAGACTCAGTACCTGATATGTTCAGTCATTGGCCACCGCTCTACCAACTGAGCCATGCCCTCCAACCTGAGCACTGTGTACTTTTAAAGATCCACTGTATACAGAGTACACAGATGAGAACAATCAGATAAAATGCTGGGTTTCAGATACACAGATGAGATCATTCCAGCATATTCAAGTACAAATTAATCATGAGGTATTAGAAACATACAACTCACATGGACACTACTTTCCCATCTCTTTAAGGAAAGGTAAAAGTTCAGTTTCAGATAACACACAGAAATCCTGTCCAGGTAATTGGCAGTTTTGTTTTGCTGAAGGTCTAAGATATCACACTGTGTTAGAAGATGGAGGAGATTAGGTTAACAGTCAGGAGTACTCAGGTATGCTTGCTCTGATCAGAAAGGGACTACCTGCATAACCTGTCAGGCTGACTAACCTCCTATTATTAATATTTTTGCGAAGCTTCTAGAACACACCAAATGTAGTTGCAAAATAGCACACAACTCGGACTCTGATGGTGATGAACAGAGAAACCTCTGAGCCGGGAGCCTGCACAAAGATCCCACCCCCACCCCTCACTCTCTGAGCAGAGGGGCTCCATCCCACCAAAGCCACTCGGCCACACGCGAGAACCCCAGAACTACACGGGTCTCCCACAGAACGCCAGAGCAGAAGACCTGCAAGGTACTGGTGCTGATCCAGGTAAAGCAAGCAGAGACAAACCCCAGTGCTCAGAACCTGTACGGAGACCCCTCCCCCACCACTCAGCCAGAGGCCAGTGCACAGCCTGCACCTGAGGAGTGGCCCATCCCACGGCACTGACCCGAACAGCATCCACAGAGGCAGAGACAGAGGAGAAGCACACAGAGCCAGCACCGCCCTCTGAGCCCACGAGCATCTCAACTGAACTCTGACTGAACTACCTGCATCACACAGAAACAACAACTAGCTCCAGGTGAGTATCCACAGCGCACAGTGTATCCCTCCTCAAGGGAGACCAGAGCTTGTGGGAACCCCCAGGTCTTGACCCAGACCCCTACCCCAACACCTGAACTACAGGATCCACTAAAACTGGGAACTCTTCCGGAGCTCCACCAAACTGTGCAGCACACCCAGCCAGCCACCCTAGATCAAGAGCACCCCCGGAAAAGATCTTAAACACCCAAGCCAGGAACAGCACCTCTGGGTCACAACCGCCAACAGTGGAAGAAACCTGAACTGTGTACTCCAGGCTGTGTAACCCAGGTGGGATACAGAGCAGCACAGGTCCAACTGGCATGCCCCAGGCCAGGACCAGGAGCCAGGACCAGGCCTGGGGATGTGGTGCCTGAGCAACACAACCGACTTCTCCTTATTGAAGTCAGAAGCTGAGCATACACCTCAGCAGAGGAGGGAAAACAGGGAACTTCACCCCTGGGAATCACACCCATGACAGCAAAAGACCTGGGTGCCCAGGGCAAGAGAACCAGAAGTCCAAACCCCACCACAACCCGACCCATATATCCCAGGCCAGGAATTGAACAACTCAGGCCGCCCGCACCTGATAATAGTCAGGAGCTCAGGCTGGTAAGGTGACTCAGTGGCAGAGTGCTTGCCTTGTGTGCATGAGGCCCTGGAGCTGATTCCTCAGCACCACATAAGCAGACAGGGCCAGAAGTGGAGCTGTAGCTCAAATGGTAGGGTGCCAGCCTTGAGTGGAAGAGCTGGGGGACAGCGCCCAGGCCCAGAGTTCAGGCCCACTACCAGCCAAAAACAAAAAAAGTCAGGAGCCCACAGCAGACTCTAGCAACTGGGAGAGTACATCCAGGACACTCATCTCACCAAGAGCACCTGGAGGAGTAAACAGGAGAAGTCTAAGCCGCTCAGTCCTTCTAAAGGCAGGAACGGTCAGTGATCTACAGCAGAGAGCCAAGAGCCCTACGTGGGTCAGACCAGCAGCTGGAGGTCGGCCGCCAACAGAACTGAGACTAGGTACAAACTCTCTCCACCAACTCAGAAATGGCAACAAACCAAAGACAGACACTTATTGACCAAAACAAAATTTCAGATAGTCTCCAATAATCCCTGAATCCCCATGCAAAAATTACAGAGAAAAATTACAAGGTTTATCAACACCCAGGATAGCAAGCTATCTCCAAAAGCCAGCAGCCACCCAGGGGAGAGCCCTAGTGGGAGCAAAGCAGGAATGGAAGACAAAAGCTACATCCAAGAGATACTGGAGGCAATGACTCAAGAACTAAAGTGAGAAATAGACCAGAAATTTAAAGAACACAGGGACAAAATGTCAAAAGAGATGCAGGATCTCAAACAGGAGGTGCATGAAAAAATAGGGCAGTGCACACCTAACTAAGAGATGAGATTACTACAAAAATAGAGGCAGTACACACCTCACTAAGAGATGAGATTAGTACAAAAATAGAGGTAGTACATACCTCATGAAGAGGTGAGATTATTACTTTTAGACCCAACATTGAATCAGTAAATGAGTCCATTTCCTCCATGCAAACCACAATGGAAGCCACAGTTAACAAAGTGAACGAAATGGAACATAGAGTGTCAGATGCAGAAGACAGAATGCACCAACTGGACCAAAAAGTCACAGATAAGGAAAAATCACTTAAATTATGCCAAAGGGAAATCCAAGAGCAAGCAGATAGTGCCAAGAAATTTAACCTTTGTATAATTGGAGTGGACAAAGGTGAGAAATATCAAAGCAAGGGAATGCAACACCTATTCAACAAGATTATCAATGAAAATCTCCCTCATCTTAAAAAAGAACATCTTACCTACGTTACAGAAGCATATAGAACTCCTAACAAGCAGGATCCTAGGAGAAACACTTCTTGGCACATTATAGTATTCATATTCGATGGAGAAATGGACATTTTGGCTTTTTTTTTTTTTTTTTGGCTGTGGAGTCTGAACTCTGGGCCTAGGCACTGTCTTTCAGCTCTTCAGCTCAAGGCTAGCATTCTACCACTTGAGCCACACAGCGCCACTTCCATCTTTTTCTGCTTATGTGGTGATGAGGAATCGAACCCAGGGCCTCATGCATGCAAGACAAGCACTCTACCACTGAGCCACCTTCCCAGCCCAAAATGAACATTTTTAATAGGAAAGAAAAATTAAAGGAATTCATAAACAATAAGGCAGCATTACAAAGAATAATAAGAGGGGGAACACAACCTGAAGAAAGAAACCAGGAATGGGTTATGAGTAGAAGTCTAACTTAGTAAGCACAGGAAGAAAGGAAAGAAGAAAAACTTAGGAAAACAGGGAATGACAGGAACCACAATGCATCTCTCTATAATAACCTTAAATATTAACGGACTTAATTCACCAATCCAAAGAAAAAGAACTGCAGATTGGATCAGAAAACATGATCCATCCATCTGTTGCCTTCAGGAGACCCACCTCTCAGCTAAACATACAAACAAATTCAGAGTGAAGGGTTGGAAAAGGATCTACCAATCAAATGCCCCCACTAAGAAAACAGGAGTCGCTATCTTGATATCTGACAAAATAAACTTTTCATTAAAATAAATACAAAAAAACAAGGAAGGGCACTACCTGTTAATAGAGAACAATCCAAGAGGAGGATATTACCCTCATCAATTTATACTTTCCAAACATTGGAGCACCCAAATATGTTAAGCACATACTTTCAAACTTACAGAATAAAATAGATCCAAATACAGTAATACTAGGAGACTTTAATACCCCACTCTCACCAAAGGACAGGTCTACCAACCAGAGGATTGGCAAAGAAGCTACCGAATTGAGGCCATACTTCAAGCGGAATTAACTGACATCTACCGAGTATTTCACCCTAAAACAACATAGTACTCATTCTTCTCAGCTGCTCATGGAATTTTCTCCAAATAGACCATATCATAGATCATGCAAGGAACTTAAGCAAATACAAGGGGATTGACATAATCCCCTGTATCCTATCTGACCACAGTGGAATCAAGGTAGTTCTCAATAACAAAGCATACTGCAGAAATTACTCAAATACATGGGTAACTGAAGAAATTAGAGAAGAAATTAACAATTTCCTACAATTCAATGAAAAGGAAGACACATCACCAAGAAACTTGGGGGACACAGCAAAAGTAGTCCTGAGGGGCAAATTTATTACCCTCAGTGCCCACATCAAGAAAATAGAGACTGATCAAGTAAATAATCTCATGTTGCAATTAAAACAGCTAAAAGACATGAAAAAAATGGAATCTAAAGTTACTAGATGTAGCCAGATAATCAAATTAAGAGCAGAAACTAATTAGAGAATGGGAAAATTATAAATAAAATTAATAAAACAAAAAGCTGGTTCTTTGCAAAAATAAATAAAACTGATGGACCTTTGGCAAGATTAATTAAGAAAAGAAGAGAGGAGGACTGCTAATGTGCTCACTGTTATCTCCCTCTCCCTCTCCCTCACTCTCTCCCTCTTCCTCTCCTTTTCCCTCTTCCTCTCCCTCTCCCTCTCCCTCTCTTTAGAATGAGTGGATAAGCTGCAGCCCCATGCTACAGAGAAGAGTCTACCATTCCAGGGCAGCCATCCAGAGGAAGCTTTATGTTCTTGGAGGCAATGATCTGGATTACAACAATGACCGGATTCTTGTGAGTCACACAGATTCTTATAACATGGACACTGATCAGTGGACCCATTGCAATTTTAACCTGTTGACTGGCCAGAATGAATCTGGAGTTGCTGTCCACAATGGGAGAGTATATTTAGTCGGTGGATATTCAATTTGGACAAATGAGCCTCTGGCTTTTATCCAGGTTCTAGATGTAAGCAGAGAAGGCAAAGAAGAAGTATTCTATGGGCCTACACTACCTTTTGCTTCCAATGGAATAGCAGCATGCTTCCTTCCAGCCCCATATTTCACATGCCCCAACCTTCAAACTCTTCAAGTGCCTCATCACAGAATTGGTACCATCTGAAAAGCCAATGCTCTGTTAGTAACCATCACCAATGGAGGAAAAAATAACTGTGACTTCCAGATAGTGGACTTGAAACTCCTCAGTGCTCAATGCTCCCTTGTATTATTTCATGGGTCTTTAACTACAGATAAAAATTAGCAAAAAAAAAAATTCTTTTTTGGGGGATGGGGGGTGTCCAGTTGTGGGGCCTGAACTCTGGACCTGGGCACTGTCCCTCAGCTCTTCAGCTCAAGGCTAGTGCTCTACCACTTGAGCCACAGCACCACTTCCGGCTTTTTTCCTTTTTGCTTATGTGGTGCTGAGGAATCGAACCCAGGGCCTCAGGCACGCAAGGCAAGCGCTCTACCACTGAGCCACTTTCCCAGCCCGCAAAAAAATTTCTAAAGTACATTATTGGGAACTTTTCTCTGTGTATGTCAACATAAAGTAAAATATGTTTGACTTTTATTGTGGTGTATCTTAGTGCCAACTGAATAATACATTGTTTTTTCATGGGTCTTTCAAACATTCTTTGTACATGTTCTCAATGTGCACTGTCTAGGACATGAAACTGTTAGTTAAGGCAATTTTTTTCATCCATTAGTTACCTTAAAATCTTTTATACTTGCTCCCCTTACTAGTTCAACATTGGCTTGTAATTTTTTTTTCCAAATTTAACATGAAGCCTAGCTCAGTAGATATTCAGCATTATGATGTTGTAAATCCCTGGTTTGGGGATGAGTGTGATATTGGCTTCGTAGAATGAGTTTGGGATAGCTCCCTTCTCTGTTTCTCTGAAGAGCTTGAAGAGTATGGGTATTAGTTCTTCTTTAAAGGTCTTATAGAATTCTGCTGTGAATCCATCTGGTCCTTGGCTTTTTTTTGTTGGAAGACTTTTGATAGCTTCCTGTATCTCGTTGTAGGATATTGGTTTATTCAATTGGTTTACTTCTTCTTTGCTCAGTTTGGGTAACTTGTATTTCTCTAAAAATGCATCCATTTCTGCCAGGTTTTCTTCCTTTATAGAGTATAACTTTTGAAAGTAGTCCATTAGGATTGTTTGGATATCTTGGGTAGGTGTTGTGATTTTTCCCGTGACATCCCTAATCCTGTTATTGTGGGCTTCCTCTCTTCTTTTTTTAATTAATCTTGACAACAGGCCATCAATTTTATTTATTTTTTCAAAGAACCAGCTTTTGGTTTGGTTAATTTTGGCTATAATTTTCTGATTTTCTAATTGGTTAATCTCTGCTCTTAATTTGGTTATCTGGCTCCATCTAGTAACTTTAGGATCCATTTTTTTCTTGTTTTTCTAGCTGTTTTAACTGCAACATGAGATTATTTACTTGGTCTGTTTCCATTTTCTTGATGTGGGCACTGAGGGCAATAAATTTACCCCTCAGTACTGCTTTTGCTGTGTCCCACAAGGTTCTTTGCGAGGTGTTTGCATTTTCATTGAGTTGTAGGAAATGTTTTATTTCTTCTCTGATCTCTTCCGTTACCCAGGCATTGCTACGAAGTGGCTGTTCAATTTCCATGTATTAGAGAAATTTCTGTGGTATGCTTTGTTATTGAGAACTAGCTTGATTACACTGTGGTCAGATAGGATACAGGGGATTGTGTCGATCCCTTTGTATTTGCTCAAGTTCTTTGCATGAAGTATGGTATAGTCTATTTTGGAGAAAGTTCCATGAGCTGCTGAGAAGAATGTGTACTGTGTTGCTTTAGGGTGAAATGCTCAGTAGATGTCAGTTAATTCCGCTTGAAGTGTGGCCTCACTTAATTCGGTAGCTTCTTTGCCAATCCTCTGGTTGGTAGACCTGTCCTTTGGTGAGAGTGGTGTGTTAAAGTCTCCTAGTATTATCGTATTGGGATTTATTTTATTCTGTAAGTTTGAGAGTATTTGTTTAACATATCTGGGTGCCCCAATATTTGGGGCATATAAGTTGATGATGGTAATATCCTCCTCTTGGATTGTTCCCTGTATTAATATGTAGTGTCCGTCCTTGTGTTTCTCTACTGATTTTAATGAAAAGTTTATTTTGTCAGATATCAGGATAGCTACCCCTGCTTTCTTACTGGGGGCATTTGATTGGTAGATCCTTTTCCAACCCTTTACTCTGAGTTTGTATGTTTGGCTGAGCGGTGGGTCTCCTGAAGGCAACAGATGGATAGGTCATGTTTTCTGATCTGCAGTTCTTTTTCTTTTGATTGGCGAATTAAGCCCATTAATATTAAGAGATAGTATAGACAGATGCACTGTGGTCCCTGTCATTCCCTGTTTTCCTCAGTTTTTCTTCTTTCCTTTCCTCCTGTGCTTGCTCAGTAAGACTTCTATTAATGCCTGTCTGGGTGCAGGTCCCAGTTCCTGGTTGCTTTCTTCAGGTTGTGTCCCCCCTCTTAGTATTCTTTGTAGTGCTGGCTTAATGTTTATGTATTCATTTAGTTTTTCTTTGCTATTAAAAATTTTCAGTTCTCCGTCGAATGTGAATGCTAGCTTTGCCGGGTATACCAGTCTGGGTTGGCAGTTATTGGCTCTCAGGGCTTTTCCCAGGTCTTTCTTGCATTCAGTGTTTGTGTGGAGAGATCTGCAGTGATTCTAATTTTTTTCCCATTGTAGTATAGCTCCTTCTTCATTTTTGCTGCATGCAAGATTGTTTCCTTATTCAGATCTATCATTTTTACTATAATGTGTCTAGAAGTGTTTCTCCTGGGCTCTTGCTTGTTGGGTGTTCTATACACTTCTGTTATGTAGGTAAGATGTTCTTTTTTGAGGTGGGGAAAATTTTCACCGATTATCTTGTTGAATAGGTGTTGCATTCCCTTGCTTTGGAATTCCTCACCTTCGTCCACTCCAATTATACAAAGGTTAAATTTCTTGGCACTATCTGCTTGCTCTTGAATTTCCCTTTGGCTTAATTTGAGTGATTTTTTCCATATCTGTCACTTTTTGGTCCACTTGGTATATTCTGTCTTCTGTATCTGACACTCTACATTCCATTTCGTTCACTGTGTTAACTGTGGCTTCTATTGTGGTTTGCATGGAGGAAATGGACTCCTTTATGGATTCGATATTGGTTCTCAAAGTACTGATCTCACCTCTTCATGAGATATATACTGCCTCTATTTGGGCATTTATCTCACTTCTTACTGAGGTTTGTGCAGCCTCTATTTTTGCATGCATCTCCTGTTTGATATCCTGTATCTCTTTTGATAATTCATCCTTGTGCTCTTTCCATTTCTGGTCTTTTTCTCGCTTTATTTCTTGAGTCATTGCCTCCAGCATCCCTTGGATGTAGCTTTTGTCTTCCATTCCTGCTTTGCTCCCACTGGGGCTCTCCCCTGAGTGGCTGCTGGCTATTGAGGATAGCTTGCTATCCTGGGTGTTGATAAACCTTGTAATTTTTCCCTGTGATTTTCACATGGGGGTTCGGGGATTATTGGAGACTAATCTGCAATTTTGTTTTGGTGTGTCTGTCTTTGCTTGGTTGCTGATTCTGTATTGGTAGAGAGAGTCTGTGCCTGATCTGGGTTCTGTTGGGGGCCTACCTCCAGCTGCTGGTCTGACCTACATAGGATTCTCAGCTCTCTGCTGTAGATCGCTGGCAATTCCCGCCTCTGGAAGGGTTGAGCAGCCTAGACTGCTCCTGTTGTTCCCACGGGTGCTCTTGGCAAGACTGGATGTTCTGGATGCATTCTCCCAGATGCTGGAGTCTGCTATGGGCTCCTGATTCTTTTGTGTTTTAGCTGGTTGTGGGCTTGAACTCTGGGTTTGGGTGCTGTCCCTCAGCTCTTCAGCTCAAGGCTGGCACCCTACCATTTGAGCCACAGCACCACTTCTGACCCTTTCTGCTTATGTGATGCTGAGGAATCAGATCCAGGGCCTCATGCACCCAAGACTAGCACTCTACTGCTGAGCCACCTTACCAGCCTGAGCTCCTGCCTACTATCAGTGCTGGTGGCCTGTGTTACCCAATTCCCAGTCTAGAGTATATGGGTCGGGTTTTGGTGGGGTTTGGGCTTCTCTTGTCCTGAGCCTCCAAGTCTTTTGCTGTCACAAGTGTGCTTCCCAGGGGGTACAGTTCCCTGTTTTTCTCCCCCCTGCTGAGGCATATGCTCACCTTTTGACTTCAGTTGGGAGGAGTTGGTTGTGTTGTTCAGGCGCCAGATCCCCAGGCCTGGTCCCGGTCTCCCGCCTGGGGCACGCCGGTCGGGCCTGTGCTGCTGTGTATACCACCTAGGTTATACAGCCTGGGGTACACAGGTCAAATTTCTTCTACTGTTGGTTGTCTTGACCCAGGGGCGCTGTTCCTGGCTTGGGCGTTTAAGCTCCCTTCCAGGGGTGCTCTTGCTCTAGCCTGGCCAGCAGAGTGTGCTCCACAGGCTGGTGGAGCTCTCGAACAGTTCCCAGTTTTAGTGGGTCCTGTGGTCCGGGTGTTGGGGTAGGAAGTCTAGGTCAGGATCTGGGGATTTCCTCCAGGTCTGGTCTCCCTTGAGGGATACACTGTCCCCTGTGGGGTACTCACCCTGGATCTAGTTGTTTCTGTGTGGTGTAGGCCATCAGTTGCTGTTGCAATCCGAGTTCAGTTGGGGTGGCTGCGGGCTGGGCTGGGCGGTGTTGGCTCTGTGTGATTCTCTTCTGTCTCTGCCTCTGTCGAAGCTGTCGGGTCCACAAGGGGTGGGGGCTGGGCCTCCATACAGGTTCTGAGCGCTGGGGTTTACACCAGCACCAGTTCCTTGCAGGTCTTTTGCTGTGGTGTTCTGTGGGCGCTCCATGTAGCTCTGGGGCTCCCGTCATGGGGCAAGTTCCCGGCTCAGGGGTTCCTCTGTTTATCGCAATCGGCAGGTCTGACACTGGTACCTCAGGTGGCTTCTGCGCGGGTGATCTGCAGGCAGCCCTCTGTGTCTCTGGGACCCCGGTAGCCCCCGCTGGGCCGGCTGGCGGTGGCTTGTCGAGCTGCCTGTGTCGGGCAGCTTTGGCGGGATGGAGCCTCTCTGCTCGGATGGGGAGTGAAGGGTGGGGGTGGGATCTTTGTGGAGACTCCCGGCTGGTAGGTTTCTCTGTTCGTGGCGATCAGCGGGTCTGCCAACTGGTACCTCAGGCGGCTTCTGCACG